TCATTTATTTTTTTTAGAATATCAATACACTTTAATATATTTCTAAACTATTTTTGAATTTTATTTATGTCCGGACTTTAACCCTCAATCTCGTGAAATATATGGTTGTTCACTATTTGGATAAAACCGAATTATCCAATTAGACAATTTGGTTTGGATATTCGGATTTTTTGATTAGTTTTCAGCAAAACCGAATTATCATTTTTTTGATTTCGGATTGGTTTTGGTTTATAAAATAAAAATCAAATATAAAAAAATAGAATAACAATTTATTTATTTATTCATATTATTTATTTTTAACGTATATTTTTAATAATTTATAAATTTACTAACTTTTTTTTAATAGATTAGAAAATTTAATCTATTATAATATTTTAATATGTATTTCTTATCAAAGATTTTTTTTGTCTATAAACTACTAAACTATAATATATTTTTCTTGATAGTTGTTTATAAATTTTAATTCAAAACTATTTAAACAATTATCTCTAGTTTCTTTTATAGAGTGGGTTAAGACAAAAGTTATATATTAATTAAAATATCTTGCTTTTTGAAAACTAAATTGTAAAAACAGATCCAGCCGAATTATAATTTGATTAGATCAAATTAGATTTAAATTTGGTTTGGATTATTTGGATTCATGATTGAAAACCAAAATCAATTTGGATTATTTGATTGGATCAGATCAAACTGATCCATTCAAACCGACACCCTAAAGAGGGATGACATCTCACGATACCGCTACGCCAATAATATTAAATGATTTTATTGTTTGTAATTAATATTACAAATGATATTTTTTCTTATATATATAATATTATTTGTTGTATTTAGTTAATATATCCAAAAGTTGTTTTTTTCTTTCTTTTCTGTTGGTTTTATTTTATAAAAAAAATGTACATCAGTACATATGAATACGACTTTCTTGTGTATATATGTTTTCATCTAGGAACTAAGATTTTTATTTTTATTTGTGTAATGAAAATACATATTTTTTTATATATTTGTTGTAGCGGCTTAAAGTTATAATTATTCATTAGAAAAACCAGATAGAAAAGGATAAATAGTACAATTGACGGTCCAATGTTATACACAAAGAGCATTTTTAGGTTTGATCTTTCATTCATATTTAGGTTGTTTTTTAGAGGCAAAAAGTCTAAACTTGTAAACTAATCTATAATGGAAGAGGTTGATCAAACGTCTATAATCCGCAAAAAGAATATTGTTTTTAATATCTGCAGATTGTTAAAATAAATTAAAATTAAATAAATTGATTTTTTAAACTTAAAAGAGTTGTTAAATATTGAAATTAAAATAGTTCTAGTTTCACAAGCATGAAAGGTTTCTAATTTCAATTCATGTAAAAGATTCAATATTAAAATCATACGGATCCTTTGTTACTTATTAATAGATCAACAAATGATTAACTACATATTTTATCTCCTGTCATTTGTTGTAGTTAAAATGAGGATATATATATATATATATATATATATATATATATATATATATATATATATAAGAGACATTCAAATAAAAAATATTGATCATTTTAATCGTTGATGTTTTACGATGAATAATTTGATTTTAGGTGCACAACATAATGTAATTGAATTCAAATATAACTATGTCATTGATATAAACTGACCTTTTATATGCGGTTAATATTTCGTTTGTAGTTAAAATGAGAAATATTAAAAAAAAAGGCATTCGTATAAAAAAAATTATTAATAATTTTAATCGTTGTTAATGTTTTGCGATGAATAATTTGATGGGTAAATTACACCATTCGTCCCTCGTGCATATGCCAGAAAGCGTGTTTAGTCCCTATTTTCAAAAATTAACTCGGACCGTCCTTGAGTTTGTTTTTTCTTGCACGCTTAGTCCCTATTAACATGAAATGACTATTTTACCCCTAATAATTTGTTTTATCATTTTTTTTATTTATTTATTAGTTTTAAATTAAAATAAATAAATAAATAAAACAATTCATCCCCACCATTCCTTCTCCCATTTCCCAGCTCCTTCGTCTACCTTTTTCTTACATTCCCTTCACCAAAATCATCAAGCTTCTTACATTACCTTCACCAAGATCATCAAGCAGTATGAAATCATACCAAAAAACCATCAAACTCAAACCCAAATCAAATCATCTTAATTTTATGAAATCTGAAACCCAAACAAACCAAAATCGATAATCAACATCATTTCGAGATGAAATCCCTAAACCTAAATTCGTAATGAAGCAACCAAAATCTGTCATGAAATTCCTCGATTAATGCCCTAGATTGTTGAACTTCGACATACATCAAAACTTCGGAGACGATGACCGAAATGAATGATGGAGGTATGCCGGCGACCGAGAGGAATGAACATCATCATCTTCACCACCACAATACGTGCAACTGTGCGGACAGTTGTCGGAGGTTTCTGGCGATGGAAATGTCCTAGCGATCGAAATCCCACTGGTCCTCCCCTATTGACAAACACACCCATGCTTCCTCCTTATCCCGCTCTCTTTTCCGATCATCGTTAAGATGTTAATCCACCACCGATCTTCTCCCAAAAAAACTCAGACCACAACCATCGATCCACAGTTTGTGTGTTTTTTTTCTTGTTTTCTCGATTAGTAATACAGTGAAAGCGATAGGGAAGATTCATCGGAGAAGTGGAAGCGACGATGGTAGCCGGTGACTGGCCAATGAGTTAAAGGTCTCCGTTTTCCTTCTCATCGATTTGATATGTGTGTGTTTTCTGCGATTGTGGATGGTTAGGGAAAGTAAAGAGGCGTTTATTATTTATTTTTTAATTTTTAATTGAAACCTATAATAAAAGCATTAAATTAATTGAAAAATAAAAATACAATGGTATTTTGGTCATTTCAAACTTGACAGTGACTAAATTCGCAACAAAATCGGCTTTCAGGGATGAAGCGTGCAAGGTTAAATAAAACGAGGGACGGTCCGAGTTAATTTTTGAAAATAGGGACTAAACACGCTTTTTGACATATGCACGAGGACGATTGATTTAATTTACCCTAATTTGATTTTAGGTGCACAACGTAATGTAATTGAATGCAAATATAATTATGTCAAATGTATAAAATGACTACAATGACAAAGGTGTTTTGTAGTTTAGAAGATATTTGAAGATGTTAGAAGAAGGTAGCAACATCTGCGCAAAGAAGAAGACACACACCTTTTTAGGTCTACGGTCTCCTAAACTCAAACAATCAGCGAATGTTAATATATGCACGTTAGCGCAAGGTCTCTTTGACGCTACAAAAAAAGCCAAGAAGATTACAGACAAAAATCAAACACTATCTTACAATATTCTACTCCACAAACCATTAAGCTCTTATCATATACATAAAAATATCAAATATATAATTCTATATGCATTATGGGTAAAAAAGAAGCTCTCTAGTAACGTTAACACAAAAATCCAAATCAAAGCCGAAAAAAATTAAAGTCATGATTTTTTAATATATCGTAATAGTTAAGAACACACACAAGCCAGATATTTGAAAAGTAAATATTAATTAGATTACATTAATTCAGTCATATTGTATTTTATTTAAGCTCATGGAAGTGGCGTCACATCACAAGCCTTGTTTATTAACAATCACATGACTAAAATGCATTAAATAGACGTGTATGGTCTTTATAAAACCTATTAGTTTTCTAGTTTATCCAATGGGGAGGGGAATGAACTTTTTCTTTCCGGTATATAGAAATAGGGAGCACAAACCTGATACCGCTGGACTAGCAAAGGACATATCCTAATCATTTTTATTACCTCAATTTATTACAAAATTCATCCATTTATATATGTTATAACGGGTCCATTATATAGATAGAAAAATGTAGATACATATGATCCAACTTCATGTCTAGTGTTTGTTCCATGTATTGCTGATAATATTTTCCTAGATTGTTTGTAATTGTAGCTCTTCTAAGGGGGGCTTTGTTTTCTTTTTGCCTAAGAACAACGAATCAATGATAGTTTTTTCTAAAGTTTTATAATATTTGAAAAAGGTTTTGGAAAACCTTTTACATTTAGTGAATAAGGCTCATTTGAGATGACACTTCAAACACTTATTTTTCTCTAACATTTTAATTTTCTTTTAGACTATATCACAATTGATCCCTACATTTAGTAACATTTTATTTTATATCCTAATTATATTTAGATAATAGATTCTTTTAAACTTTATATTAGTTAATTAATTGATTTAATAAACAAAATAAAACTTATAATGTTTTATGAAAAAAGTTATACAATTCAAAAATAATTGTAAGAACTTTTAAAATTAAAAAATATTAAATAATATAAAACATTGTAGTTACTAGGCACTTAATGTCAAAAAATTAAATTGAAAAATAACTTTGTTGGGCATTTTATATTGGCACTATAAAAGATGATAAAATTTTCATAATCTAGTTACAAAATATTTTATCGTTTTTTATATTTTTTAACTACATTGTGAAAATTTTATCATCTTTTATAGTGCTGGAGTAAATTACCCGGCAAAATTATTTTTGAATTTTATTTTTTGACATTAAGTATCTAAAAAAGATAAATTAGTTAACGACATATATTAGTAAAATAATAAATAATATAAATAATCTTAATAAAACATTTATGATAGATAAAAGATAAATTAGTTAATTTTAGAATGTCACTATTCATCTCCAACCCACTCACACCCTATAAATACAGTGTAATGGTAAAAACAGAATAGCATCTTACTTGTAATCTTGTATATTACCTTGATGGACCAAAGGGATATTAGTGGCCAAGAACATCAGCTGTGGTTTTGGATCTTTTATTTTGGATGAAAAGGGCATTTTGGTCAAAAATCCAAAGTGACGATATTACCCTTGACTGGAAGTGAGAAATTTGTCGGGTTTCCTATATCATGCTCCAAAAACCGTTAGTGAGGAGAGAGTTCACAGTACACTATAGTAGATAGTAGTGGTCTATAAGTGGGTCCGAGAGTCTCGAGTCACCACACTTCCATCCAACCGACTTATCACTTCTTCTCTGGTACGTTCATATTCTCTCTCTCTCTCTCTCTCTCTCTCTCTCTCTCTTCTTCAGCTACGATGTTTTGATCGATTCTAATTCGAAATACTTAAATCTAAGTTCTAATATCGTATACTACTTCAAATATGGCAGTAAAAGCAGCAACATCTAGACTGTAGCTTCAATAGCTAACTTAACACCAAGTTTTGATGTTCCCAAAAACGAAAACGAATTTAGATCTTATCATGTTATGTTTAACGCCAATATTTCTTTCTCTTTCTTCCAATATTTGATCTACAGTTCATTTGAATTTGAAGTATTTTTCTGATTTGCACATCAATCTGAATTGAATTCAAATCTGTTTCTCGTGATTCATCTATAACTCCCACAGCCTAGTGTGTTGAAACAATTTACAGCGAGATTCAAATGACAACAGCTAATTCTAGCGATTCGCCTCTTGTTGCTCAAAGGTCCGTATCATACTAATCCTTAATATTTAAACTTTCATGCATACTTTGGTCCTCCTTCAAGTTTGACTGAATATAATTTTTAATTTAACTCTAATACTGTGTTGTATATTAAATTGATATTTATTAATCATATGTACAATACAACACTTTAAAGCACAAATTGTTGTGTACGGAGAAAAAGTGTTGTGTACGAATCAGTTTAAGTTTATATCATCAGGTTATTAGAAAAGGTGGCTTTGGTAACCGGTGGTGCAACCGGTATCGGAGAGGGCATCGTGCGTCTTTTCCACAAACACGGTGCAAAAGTTTGTGTAGTCGACATCAACGACGACCTCGGCCAACACTTATGCCAGACCCTCGGTCCCACCACCCGTTTCGTCCACGCTGACGTGGCAATCGAGAACGACCTCTCCCGTGCAGTCGACTTCTCGATCTCCAATTTCGGCACACTCGATATCATGGTCAACAACGCCGGTATAACCGGGCCACCTTGCTTTGACATCCGTGAATTCCCCATATCGACCTTCGAACAAGTATTCGATGTCAACACCAAAGGCACATTTATCGGGATGAAACACGCAGCTAGGATCATGATCCCGTTAAAAAAAGGCTCCATTGTTAACATTTCTAGTGTGGCAAGTGTTACGGGAGGGTTGGGCCCGCATGCGTATACCGCATCCAAACACGCGGTTGTCGGGTTGACAAAAAGTGTGGCGGCTGAGCTCGGGAAACATGGGATTCGTGTGAATTGTGTGTCACCGTATGGGGTTTTGACGGACCTCGCATTGGCACATCTTTATGAGGATGAACGAACGGATGAAGCCAAGGCAGGGTTCCGAGCTTTTATTGGGAAGAATGCCAACTTGCAGGGTGTGGAGTTGGTTCGGGATGACGTGGCGAATGCGGTGTTGTTTTTAGCGAGTGATGACGCGGGGTATATAAGTGGGGACAATCTGTTTGTTGATGGTGGTTTCGCGTCTACAAATCACTCACTTCGTGTGTTTCGGTGATTGTTTTATTTTATGTATGATTTGTAATGTTTTATTGTTGGATTTGTGTTGCATGGAATAAAAGTTTAGGAACTTTTTAACTTGGAACGGATTTGAAGTCTACTGTTCAACATCAAAAGTGACATAAAGTAAAAAAGTGTTTCAGTTAATTTGAAGCTTGCCCATGTCAATCATGTGCCAAGTATGCAATTTCTCAGAATCGTCAGCAGAATTTGACCTAAAATGTGTTTTTATCTTGCTGCTATTGGCATAACGTTTCAACCCCTCAATTTCATTTCTCATAGACTGGTATTGGCCTGTGTATCAAGATTCATACATCTTTTATGTCAGAAAATGCAAAAATTAATAGGATTGGGGATGAAGGATGAAGTATGAAAGATGAAAGATGAACAACTTACGTTCCATAAGAAATTTTTCTTGTTGCACTCTGGACAACTTGTGTTTTAGTTGCTTGTTCTCCACTGACAAATAGACATGTTGTTTTACAAGAGAATCAACTCTAATACCCAATTCTGACACGATATTCTGCATCATAACATATTATAAGATAAATATAAAAACGTTGAAAGAAAATAGATTCTAAATGATGGTTTTACTTTTACCTGAAATTTTTCAACAGTTCTTTCTAGTTCTGCTATATACAGGAGTTTACGAACTCGTGACCTTTGAGCAGAGTGCCTAAATAATCAGTACCAGAAATTCAGCTTAACAGTATAAATAATTTGCTAAGACAATCAAATAAAAGAATTCACATAGTAATGAATCTAACCTTTTAAATGGTTTAGCCTCCATATTAAGTTCATCAGTTGAATCTTGTAGTTGTACAACTGAATCAAGTTGCAGAGGAGCATGAGAGGCGTACTCTGATAAAGCAGAAACAATAGCAGTTTCTTGAATGGATGATACTTTGTCCTTGCTCCTAGGTGAGTTAGGGCCATATATGCAACCAGACTCCAATGAAGAAGAAGAAGATGAAGTTCTATTTTTCTCATCTTTTTCAAACTCAACAAGCCCATCCAAAACAGTTCCAGAATCACTAGATGCCCTACGATGAGACGTAAGTTTTAAACCTGGTTCACAATCACCTAACAGATCATCTAGCCAGTCTGGATGTTCTTCAAAAACAAAACTTTCTGATACAGTTTTCTGGAGCCGTGGCTGGTTGCTAGGATCATAAATTGGGAAATTTGTCTTTGAGATAGGGCACCGAGGTGGAAGTTGAGGTTGCCTTGACATGGTTAACTAGATTTTTTACCCTTGTAGATGAAAACAAACTGAAAAAGGAAACAAGAATAGTTTGAGTAACTTCTGGAACACTATAATAATATAATTAGATGCAACAAGAAGCTCAAACAGTTGCATGCCAGAAAGTTAGTGCAATTTTCATAGGGTTGAGGGAGTTGAAAAGATTAATCTGTTTTGGAACTTCAAATTTCAAAACCTAGTTTTTTTGCCTACAAAACCAAGATTTCCTACAGAAACTAGAGTCGGCATTTCTCACTCTTTCAAATTAGAGAAAATAAACAATGGCTTCAGTCCGATAATTCAAATTTGTTGACCTAGTTTATAAAGTTGAATAAGTTGTTTGGCATCAAAATTCAACCCAAACCTACACACACGTCCTCTTTTGGAATAGAAGCGTTCTGCCGCTTCTTTCATGTACCAATCGGTTCTAGTTCTTGGCTCATGTACTAATCAGGGTAGAAACAAAAGAACAGTTGCATAATTTGAACGATTTAGAAAACCTAGTCGATTAATTTAACTGAATGTACAAATAAAACAACAATTCACCATTAACCGAAGCACGAAACCCCCCTCACCCATCAAAACCACAGTACACCAAAACGAAATGAAGTTGAAAGCATCAAAATGAGTAGAAAATTTATCAAAAGAGACCTGAGTTTCATCGATTATTCATTCTCCAAAAGGTGAAAAGGAAATTGTCAGTCATATACGGAATAAAGGAAACCATCATACAAAGAAGATTAAGAACAAACAATCAAACTTTTTCGCATGCAATTGGAGAAACTTGTAGTAGAAAAGAGTGAAGATTAACAATGTAAGAAGAAACAAGGGAATTTTTGGGAAATTTGACGTACCTTTTTCCCCCGATTTTCGAGAGAGTATGGAGAGGAGATACGATGCGTAGAGTGTGATTTCCAGCTGAGCGGTTCAAGCCGTCACGCTTTGGGTCTTTACACGTTAGCTGGGTGACTGCTTTGTACAAGTGGGGTTCAACTTCAAACAAAAAAATATTTAAACCATTAAAAATTGGTGATTCGGATTTTGGAGTTTGGGACGGATGGATAGGTTTATGAATTTGAGTCCACTTGATAAACAAATTTAGGCTTTTTCTAGAGTATTCATTAAAATAATTAATTTTTGGTGGTTAAATATAAAGAAAATGACAAAAATAGCCAATTATCCTAATCACTTTGGGGAAAATAGCCAAAAAATATCGAAATTGTAAAAATGGCCACAAAAATCGCAGATGGGAATGGTCCATCTGCGATTTGCACATTCCATCTGCGAATGTACAAGTACCTAAAGCACAACTATGTTTTAGGTACTTGTATATTCGCAGATGGAAAAGTCCATCTGCGATTTACACTGTTCACCTGCGATTTTCGTGATGAAATTCTATAAAAACGATTTTTTGTTTCCTCATTTTTCACTCTTCAATATAGAAAAACTCTCTCTCTCGGGGATTCCTTTTGACGATTTTTGAAGAAAATGGACGGTTACTTCAACAATCCCGAAAATATGGTTAGATTTTTACTCTTTTTAAGTTTTAATTAACATTTATTTAGTATATGTCTTTATTATTTTATTATTTATTGTATTAGTTAGTGTAAAAAAAAGAAATTATATTGTTTGTGATAGGGTAATTTTGTTGTATTTGATAGTTATAATATTTGTTATTACTAAACTTGAAGTTTAAATGCTATTTTGTTAGTGGTTGTATGAATGTACAAGTAGAGACTGCGTAGACTGTGCATTGGGTAGTTGTACATTTAGTAAAATAGTTAGAATATGCTTATTTTTTTAAGTTATTAGTTAAATAAATTGTTAGAATAATGTTTACAATATGTTTGGTTTAGTTGTTTACAATATGTTTGGTTAGAATATGTTATTTTATATAATTTGAAACTTAAAAATTGTTTGTATAATTGTCGTATAAGTTGAAAAATTGTTAATTTAGTTGAAAAAGTGTTTGTTTATATGGTTAGAAAATGTTATTTGATATAATTAGAAATATAAAAATCGTTTGTATATTTGTCGTATAACTTGGAAAATTGTTTATATAATTGGCGTTTAAGTTGAAAAATTGTTATAGTATGTTATTGTTTTTGAACGTAAATATATAAATTATTTATTAAATATTTGTATTTGCATTGTTATTATTGTTTATGTTATTATTGCATTTAATCTCTAATAATATATTTTAAAATGAAATAGTTGTTTAGTTTTCTAATATGTTATTGTGTTTTTTGCAGCATAATTATAATAACTTCGATGTGAAAGCTATTGTAAACTTAAAGGGATCGGGGTGTAACATATGAGAAGTATTTGAAGTGTTAGATGGTGTGAGACGTGATATATTTAGAGATACAGTATTTGGTTACTTGTTGGACGTCCCTCGTTTACAAGGGGACGGATTGCTGTTCCACAAAATGTTCCTTCATCAGATACGGCCGGACGATGTTTTATCTCCAGATGGAATAAAACGGTTATATTTTAGAGTAGGCGATACGAAAATGGTTTATGGGTCGGAAGAGTTTTGTTTGATAACCGGGTTGAAATTTGCGGAGTATCCAAAAAACATCGGGAAAAAAGTATCAGAAAAAATAGTTAGTAGTAAAAAAAAGATGTTATTGCGTGAGCGGCTATTTCCGAACCATACAAATAGTTCGGTGAAAATCGGTGACCTGAAAAGTTTTATTTTAAATCAACCATTCTTAGAAGTTGACAATGCGGATGCAATTAGAGTATGTTTGATTTACATTTTATGTGAAGGTTTTTTGGGAAAATAAATAAATGATCGCGTGCCACAAGATTGGTTTTTTTTTTTGCTGAGAATTTGGATGTTTGGAACATGTATTTTTTGTTTACTTTGAAAGTTTTATATTATTAATGTTAATTTATATTATAACTAAATTTTTTTTGTTTTGTTAGTTTCGCTTGGGGTAGCTATTTATGGGATTTTAAGTATGATGACCTTGAGGATACATGGAACAAGATAAATAAATATTTATCACTTCCTGAGCGTCGTCAAACTTTAAAATACACCGTCTCAGGATTTACGGCTCCAATTAGGGTATAAAAATTTACTTATATTTAAATGGTTTTATTGTTATGTTAGTTATTTTAATTTTAACTTTTATTACTATAATTGTAAAAATTGTAGATATTGATATATGAGATGCTTCCTGCTGTTCGTGCCTGTGGATTTGTATTGAGAAAAAATAGAGACATGCCTCGGATGAAACGATGGAGTGAGACAAAAAAATTGAAATGGGTTGATGTGAACAAGATTTTTTCAAAGATACAGGTTTATAAATTTTTTTAATTATTAATAAAATTCATTATTATACTTTTATATGCATTTTTAATATGTTCAATTTTTTAGGAGGGACAACCACCAAGAAATAAAATGTCACCGAGTGATGATGAGATGACATATTTTTATTATATGTCATTTCAAGAGTATGTATATGGTGAACGGAAATCAGTTCCATCCCCAGTACGGGACCATTTTAGGAGACAAGACGAATCTTCGTCTAGTATGTCGTTTAGTGGTCGCTCTCATGGTAGAGGTGGGCCAGTGGAAAACCCAACCTAGAGGAGGTGTTGAAACGACTACATACACTGGAGCAACATATGTTTATGAACCGAGAACCTACAGAGGTGTTTGTTGAAGAAGTGAATAATGAAGATCTATGGAATAACATCAGTTTTGAGGAGCCTGCAATATTCCAAACAAAATTTGATGAACGGGTTAGTTACACGCTACATTATTTTTTTTAATTTATTAACATATATTAATATTTGTGTTCATATTTTATTTGCAAATTTAGGTTGTAGAAGATGAAGTGATGAATAAAAATAATACAAATGAAAATATTTTTGGTGATATTGAAGACGACAAGGTTATTATAGATATTACATTTACGATTTTAATAATTAATTTTTAATGTGTCTTTCGTTAATAACTATAATGTGTTAATTTTAATGTAGGAGTTGGAGGAGAGGAATGAGAATGCGGGTTGTAGTAGGAACAAATTTGATGATGATGTGTTTGATGTAAATGATAATGAAGCTAAAGAGGTTGTTATACTTACATTTATTTTAATTTTTATTTAGTAGATTGAAACATGTTTTAATTAGAGATTTTTGCTTATTAATTTAGGTGTCGGAGGAAGATGAAATACAAATTACGGGAAATGTAAATTATTATGATGCTTATGGTTTTGATGACAAAGAAGTTACACCCGATAGACCGAGGGCTCGAAATCCATCAAAGTATTTGTGCCCTCCGTACACCGAGGTGTTCGTTTAATTTAAAAACTTATATTGTAATAATAGAATTTTTTATGTGAATTGTTTGATTAATAGAGATCTAAACATTTGAATATTGTTTTAGCTGCACACAACACCGAAGCAAAAAAGAAGAGCAAAAAGGAAGGTTGATATGAAATCAACAAGCCCCCGTTCCTCCTCCAGCATTTGTTGTTGTTCATGACTTCTCCGTGTTGCGCCTGCAACCTTACGTAACAGGCGGTGAGGTTGTGATCCAGAATTATTTATTTCATTCATATGACGTGCAACATCGTTTGTTTAATTTGGTGTTAGATAGAGAATTTTGGAGCGCCTTGTTTGGGCATACACACGACGGATGGTTGGAGGCAGCGGTAAAATAATACTTAATTTATTTTTTTAAAAGTATTTTCTTTTTTAGTTATTAACAAAAGTATCATAATTTTGTGCAGCATATCACCCTTTGGTATAGACTACTGATGGAGAGACGTTTTGATAGCGACCGACATACAATAATGCCGCCAAATTTTTTTGTTTGCCATGCTCTGGAGGAAGGGCAGGATTGGAGGGCGTTTATGGCTGGTATTGCTAAATACCCCAACTTCATGCTTGCTTGGTGGGATGTCGATATGGTAAACTAAATTTTATTTTTTGAAAATATTATCGTTATTGTCGTTATGTTTTTGTATTCTTATTTCTAAACAAAAATTATTTCCTTTTTTATCCTTATACAGGTCCTATTTCCGATTCATTCAGCCCCTAATCACTGGTTATTTGGGGAACTACGATTGGCGAATATGGAAGTCCATATTTATGACAGTCTCGGTAGAGGGGCTTATGAAAAATTCAACTCTGATGGAACATTTACCAAATTTGAGGCTCGGGTGGCAGATTATTTAGACAAGATTAAATATTGGGCCCGGAGGAACATCCCAAGGATTCCATTGAATATGCAATTCATATTCGAAACAAATGTTCCCCAACAAAGTAGCCATTTGGGAGATTGCGGTGTTTTTGTTTGTATGTTTATGGAACAATTAGTTTCAGGCCAACCAATACGTGAACTTATTGACCCAAGGAACGCAGCTTTAGAGTTCACCAACGGATGACAAAAATTTATTGGGGGTCAAGTCTTGGTCCTATGTAGTTGGATTATATATTTGTATATGTAATTGTATGTTGGATTTAATGACCTAGTAATAACTTAAATACTTACAACATAAGAACGACACCACCATTTGTTTTAAAGTAACAAGTACAATGCTCTAAACATAACAACAAATACAACAATTTATTGATGTAACAACCTAAAAACTATCAAAACAATACTAAAAAGCTTACAACTTGTAAATAATAATTGCCAAAAACAACACCCAACTACAAACCAAGGCTATCTTTAATTGCTTATTTTCTGATTGAAAGAGCTTGTTACTGTTAGCTATTTTAGCTATTATGATAGATGATTGGTCATTCTCTTCATCAACCCAACTGATAAACCCACATTTTGGTCCCTGTAAATTTAAACATTGACAATAAGAATTGTTGCTATATAATGATTAGGGTGTAAATATGAATGAGGTTAAGAACATGATACCATATATGGGCAAGCGTAAAATAATCTTCCTGGGTTTTTAGTTGTACCCGAAATCCTAATGATACGTTCACCTCCGCAATCACAGTATGTCATTCGCCTTTTTTAGTCTATCTAATATGAATTAATTTCACATATAAATTTAATGGAGTTACATTACACCCATTTATAGAAGAAATTTTATTACAAACAAGTATCTTTGACTATGAAATGAACTGGTTTGACTACGAATTTATAAAGTTGAACTATGAACTCCATACAAGTACATTGTCTTGTCTTGTCGGTCAGTGATGTTTGACTATAAAATGAACTGGTTTGACTACGAATTTAAAAAGTTGAACTATGAATTGCATACAAGTACATTGTCTTGTCTTGTCGGTCAGTGATGTTTGACTATGAAATGAACTGGTTTGACTACGAATTTAAAAAGTTGAACTATGAAATATGAACTGTAGAGAAACACCAATTT